CCCGTGCTTACAGAGTCTGCACTGTGGAGAGAGGTGAGAACAGCAGTAAGGAAACAACAGATGTATGTAGCATGTAATAGGTTAGTACATGCAGGTTATGAAGTACCCATGATGTGGTTAGAGAGGACTGATGCCCAAGGAGCTGGTGTTGCTCCTCTGAGGTGTTTGCTTCCAGCTGCCTGTGAAAACTTTGTGTGTTCATTGACAAACATGCGTCAAGTGTCCACTCTGTTCAAGGTGTCATGTGACATGCTGTGGACAGAACAAGCAAAACAACCTGTCTTTAGGGAGTTTTTATTCCATGTGGGGGAACAAATTGCAGACATAAAAACAAGTGCCAGCTGTCGAGAACAAAATGAAGGACTTAAAAACAAGTAGAAAGTTCTAGAATGTCTGGTTAAAAACTCTAGTGGGTAAGGAGAGCTCACTAGGAAAGTGAACCAGAAATTTAAATTTATTTGCTATTTTTGACTTTTTTTTTTTTTTTTGAGACAGTCTCATTATGTAGTCCTGGCCAGCCTGGAATTCTCTATAAAGCCTCAATTCGCTACAATCTTCTTCCCTCTATCACTCAAATGCTGAGTGGCTTACCTTATTAGGGGCTTATTTGTTGAATAAGGAAAGTTCAGGGCAAAGAAAAGGTTGGGGTGGCAGCTGTAAGATGTCATCAGGGACCGAGGCTCCTGCTTTCTCCTTCATCATCCCTAGCAGATGGTGTTTGCTTTCATATTTGTGAAGGGTTTTCTGTATCCCCAGCTAACCATGTCAGCAGTTCTGCAAGGAAGAACGCTCAGTCCTCCTTTCTCAGCCTGCTGCGTGGCTGGGCTGGCAGACCAGCCACACCTAGCTGGGATTTGTCTCTCATTCCTGAGACTAGCTGCCTTTGTCTCACCAGTTCTGTCTCTAGAACTGTGTTAGGGATCACTTCCTGCTCCAGAGATTCTGGGGAAAACTGGTTTCTGTAGTGGAGCAAAGGCACTCTCGGTGGTATCGGTTATGGGTAAATAAATCGCTGTTGTCTTCAATGGCTTCTAAGTGTGTTTGGGTGAAAACAAGTGTGAGCTGCATGTACCGTCTGCCTGTGGATGAGTTGACATAGATGGAGTCACCAATTGTGGTCCTGCAATTTACCCCAGCAATGAAAAGGAAAAACGTACTGCATGTAAGGTGTGTTTCATCTCGGAAAATTTGAAGCTTGGAGAGAACAAAATGCTTCATGGGAAGGAAATGATCTCGAATACTGTTTATATTTGTGGTCTAGTGTTCTGTCCAGCACATCCTGCTGTCACCTGGGGCCCAGCCATCAGGCAGGGGTGTTCTCTGTGCCCTGCCTCCCATGCAAGCCTGGGCCCCACAGTTCCAGACCACACTCTGCAGCTTATAAACAACCGGTATGCTGTTACACATCTTCCTTTCTGTCCCCAGTGTCACATCCTCTGGGATACCTGGTCCTGTGGTTAGAGTTCCCCTGGCCTGCATGTTTGGTTAACTGACTGGAGTCTTGGCTAATCTTTTATGGTCTCCCTCAACCCCTTTCAATGAAAGTAACCTCGAGGCCAGTGACAGCATGCTTTGGAGCTGCCCTCCCATTAGTTGGGGACGCTTTCCTGCCCCCTCAGGCAGTTCTCTGGTCTGTCCCCCTGACTGTCTCTTAAAACATATTTCTCTCCTTAACTTTTTGAATTGTCACACAGTTTTAGTTTTAGAATAAAGCCCTGGCTCTCACTGTCCTCCCATTGGCTTTTAATCTCCAGTCCCTGCCATCTCTCAGGTGTCTGTCTCCTCGCTTGGTCCACAGCGTCCCAATACTTCCTGGTAGTTTCTTACATGACTTTCAAGGGTTTGTCTTTTCAATATAGCAAATATGTTCCCAGTTTTCTTCATTGTTTTTGTTTTCTAAAAAATGAGCCTGATCTACATTTTCTGAAACCTATTGATCAGTCTTGTAGATCTTTCCAGAACAGTGTCAACAGTTCCAACACAACAGGGCTGCTTCTGTTCCAGCTTTGTTCTTAAGCTGCACAGTAGGAAAAGAATCACTTTGAAGCATTTGAAGCTCGGCTGTGCCTCTTTTTATGTCAACTTGACACACACTATAGTCACCAGAGGAGGGAACCTCAGGTGAGAAGGCCTCCATAAGATCAGGCTGTAGGCAAGCCTGTGGGGCATTTTCTTAATTAGCAATTGATGTGGTAGGGCTCAGTCCATTGTGGGTGGGGCCACCCCGTGTTCTTTAGGAAATCAGGGTGAATAAGCCAGTAAGCAGCACCCTTCATGGCCTGTGCATCGGCTCCTGCCTCCAGGTTCCTGCCCTGCTATTGGTCATCACCACATAACCCTAACTAAGGCACTCTCTTACCTTTTATTCTATACAGTACTCGGTTGATCATCACTGTTATCTGGAAGCTCCCCCTTCATTTCTGACCATTATCAGTGTTCATGAAGTCCCTGACTTTTAGTGTTCTGAGTCATTTTCTCACAGCTTTGAGGCCTTGGTTATAAAGAGGGAGGGTGTTGAGACCTAGGCACTCTGACACACCACTCATAGGCCTGTAACCTGCTGTGGTCTTGTTGAAAGCAGGTTAGCATGGGTCCATTAAGAACCTGTCCAGTTTGACAGTGGAGTTTTACCCATGGAGCCTGTTGTGATGGTGCATGCCAGTGGGGTGTACTGAAGAGGCAGAGGCAGAGGCAGGAGGACTCATTAGAACTTTTTTTTCACCTGAAGTAGTATTGGAAGATACACCACAATACTTATAAAGATGGCCTTGTGTCCCCCTCAGATGTATGTGTTTAAATCTGATGCCTAATGGGATGGAATTAGGAGAAAGCTCTTGGGAGGTGAGGAAGAGATTAGTGCCCTTAAGGATGAGACCCCAGGGAGTGGCCTGGCCTCTTCCACCAAGTGGCATCATAGAAAAGGGTTCCATCTGTGACCCAGGAAATGGTCACTGGCCAGATACCTGTTCTGTAATGCTTTGACCCTGGCCTTCTCGGCTTCTAGAATGGTGAGAAATAAACTTGCTCCTTTTCATGAGTCACCCAGTCTGAATTTCATTATAGCAGCTGTAACAAACAGACTGAGACAGGTCATTGTTTATCGCAGGGTGCTGTTCTAGCAGCAGAAGTTACAAATGGACCAAAAAAACCCAACACGATTATGTGCCTAAGTACATTACCTGTACAGAATATAAAATGCTGCAGCTCATGACACACAGTGGTGTCCAGCCAAGGTGCTTCAGGCAGCATCTGTTGGTGTTGAGTGTTATGATGGCCTTCACAGAGCACCCTGAGAGCACTGTGTTCAGAACCCAGGCTGCAGTGAAGTCACATAGTGACGTCATTGACCTCATGGGTCAGGGCTATCAGGAACATCTCAGCTTCGTTATATGTTGGGTTTTGAATTAATATTTGGCATCTTGTTAGTTCAAAACCTTTTACTATTTTTTTTGCCACTCCTACCACTCCACCCCCAACAATCACTTATGGGGCCCCATATGAGGGTTAGGTCACTTTTAAGATGCGGGGCTCTATTCCTGTCCCCTGGATTTTAGCATGTATCGCCTGAGTTAGTAGGAGTACAGACCACTGCTTTATGATCTCAAAACATGGACCTTTTTGTAGTTAAGAGGCTGGATCATGAGTGTACCTGCCCAGAAGTGTGCATGGTCCCTCAGGGTAGGGGGGAGAGGTTACAAAATAAGGCTATAAGGCAGGAGGATGGCACTGAGTGTTTTAATAGAATGAACATCAGTTGTCTTAGACTTTGATCAAACACTGGGGAAATACTCTTAACTGTAAGGCAGAAACAGTAAAATCATCTTAGTTTTCAAACAGAATGAGTAACCCCCCCCCCAGTTGGAGTTTCAAAGCAATACAAACACATTTCTGAAATGATGTATCCAGCGTGAGGGAAAACAGCCACCCTTTTCAGAAATGAAACATGGCTTCAGTGAAGAAATGGAGAAGCCATTATCTTTTGGATTTATAACACCACACAGCAGTTCTCAAATCCACACACCTGAGCTTAGCAATGTGCTGTTTTGCCAGCATTTTATCTGTGTCTGTATAACCTCACCACCCTGTTTGAATTTATGGACCCAATGATAGAGCTGTTTGCTTACAGCATATTACAGATGGGCAACCTCAGAGTCACATACACTGGTGATTTCTAAGGGGCATTTGGGGGGATGGGGCTGGAGGAAATCTGTATGAGCCTTTGTTCTTCAAGCTTTGGGCTGTTCATTCCTTACACTTTACAAGCTGCATCTTCTCTAGTCACTTAGAAAAGGCAACCATATTTTATGTTTAACACGCCGTGTTTAAGACATTGAATACTGGTGTTCCATGTAATTTAGTGGATACAGGCCATTGCATTGAGAAGGTCCCTAACATTTGATACCACTGAAGCTGCTGAGGAGCACACCTGACCCCTAGTGACTAGAGAGGGAACCGTGAGGGTTGGAGGAATAAAAAGGGTTAAGGCTGAAAGATGCTTGATATGGGTTAGTCTCGCCCAGAAGTGAGGAGCAGCATTTCCTCTTGCAAACCAAACTGATGAAAGATTATTTCCCAGTTGTGATTATAGCTGTGGAATATCTGAGAGAAATAAAAATGCTGCCCTCCCTGGTCACCCAAGTGTCTATCTCAGATGGATTATACATGGCTTACAAATGGTCCTGAGCAGAGGGAGTTTTACTGATGTAAATGTCAGCTTCGAGCAGGGTGGGAGACTGCAGAAAGCTAAGTGAGTGTCTCATCTCACCTTTCACCCCATCATCTGTCCTTGGCAGGCAGTCAGAGTTGAGTGTCGGCCTTCTGTGATGTCTGGGTGGCATCAGTGTGCTGGAGCTGGCTCAGTCCTGGCCTAGACATACAGTGAGGGCAGCTGTGCGCATGCCTCCTGACCTCCGACTGTGGGGAATCTAGAATGGGTTAATCTGCAGAGCATACTGGCCACATCAGCTAAGCATTTCTCTCTTCGTTTATCTCCTCTCTAGATCAAGAAGAAGCAGCAGGATGTGGTTAGATTTCTGGAAGCCAACAAGATAGAGTTCGAGGAAGTGGACATCACCATGTCGGAAGAGCAGAGGCAATGGATGTACAATAACATTCCCCCAGAGAAGAAGCCTGCTCAGGGCAACCCTCTGCCACCTCAGATATTTAACGGCGACCGATACTGTGGAGTAAGTGGCCGGAGCACTCCCACACTGTGTCCCTTTGTTACCCGTAGCATGCTAACCTGGAGTGTGTTTGTATCCTTTACAGTAAAGGCAGTAACTTCGTGCAGCCACCTGTTCAGGGTTCTGGGCCTCACAGAAGGTGAAGCTGCGAGCAGTTAGGAATTCAGCATCACAGATGGGGTTGCTGGAGAATTGTGTGGTGTGTCATGGAGCTCAAGGTTGTCTGTCAGTCATCCATCCTGTCCCTTTCCTTGCTCTGGAAGGGAAGTGGAGAATATGTATTTATTGTGTTCTGACTTTTCAAGCATGTCTCTCCATTAAAACATTTGTGGGCCAGATTGAAGAGGTAATTACTCTTGAATCATTATTCCCCACGGATAGCTGATTAGAAAACAGAGTTCATAGTCAAAAAAGATTGCCAACAGAAGGATTCCTGTGAATATTTAAGCTCTGTTTTGGTGCCTTTCTGCTGGGTATATATGAGAAAGAGAAGTCAGTTTTGTCTAGTTATCCACTTAGCTTGTTTCTTAGGCTAAAACAAAAATCTGAGAAACTTCTTCCTACAGAGTAGGTTGGGATTTGGTTTTTGCCACAGTTTTAACCTCCAGACACAGTGTTCATTTGGGGAATGCAGTTCTTTCAAGGAGCTACTGTGCCCAGGTGTTGCCGACACCGATGCCGTTAAGTGGCTGTGAAGTCAGTAGGGTGGAGAAAGGAATAATAGTATGTTTGGTGGCTGCAGAGGCATAGAAGAGACTGGGAAATCAGAGCATAAGTCTGTGAGCCACCTGTGCACAGTCGTCTCGGCAGTGTGATGATGAGCTGAGTCCTGCACCCATGACACTTGTCTGCCTCATGTTGTTCATGGCACTTGTGGGAAGTTCCTTACCGTCTTAAGCCTGTCTTCTGATGCTTAAACTTGTACATACTGAGCTCCCGATCTTGTCCACCTCAAGGTGGTGGCACTGCAGATATGAGCTACCATCCTGTTTTGCAAGAGTAGTACCAGGAGTCATCCCCCTCTTCTGCAGGAGCATTGCCTCAGGGCTACACACCAACTCCATTAGGGTTGTGACTGTTTCCAAAGATCAAGTACATCTTTATTAATCAAAAAACACTTAACTGACTCTTTTTGGCCGATAAGAAATGTTTGCTTTCTCCTGTGGTGTAACAATCTGGTCCTCAGGATTCAATGGATTCTCTTGAAAACTTTCCTAATCCTGCTATTCTCCAAGGGTTTCCCTGTAAGAAGTTGTGAGGATCCTTGAAGTGATGCTTGGTTGGTGAGAGTCAAGCTTATGTGACGGATGAGCCCAGTTTGTTCTGCTTCTGAAGCATTGGTTGTGACAGGTGGCAGGGCATTGCTGTGGGGAACTGCTTCCTTCAGCCTGTGGACAGTTCGGGAAAGCCTTGCAGCTTGCCATGCATCTCATCCATTTGCTGAGCTGCCCTTCAGGTGTGATGGTCCCACCGTATTCTGCTGTGGTGGATCAGGTAGACAGAGACCACAAACTTTCTTCCCCCTTTCTTCTTGTGTGAACTTGACTTTGGAACATGCTTTAGAGCTTTTCAGTCCAAATGCTAAGCTGGCCGTCTCCAATTGTGTACAGACACAATTTTCATCACACATCACAATCCAGCCAAGAATTGGCTTGTTGTTGTTTCACAGAGTGAGAGAGGACAATGGATCAAAATGGCTGGGTTTTCTTTTTCTCTTTCGTCAGTTCATGGGGCACCCACTTAGCAAGCCTTTTCACGTTTCCAGTTTGCTTCGGTGCCAAATGGCCACCAAATGGTCCACATGGCCTCTCTGATGATATGAGGATCGGCTTTAGCAGTTGCTTTCAACTGGTCATTGTCAATTCCTGTGATCACAACTATGCTCCCTGTCTCCAAGCTATGGCCTCCTTTGCAAAGTATATGAAACATCACCTGTCTGTCCATTAATAGTTCCTGGACAAATGTGTTTGTTATGTTAGGAGTTGTCTCTACTCCTTAACCATCCATTTTGAACTGAGGAAATCACCTGAATTTGCTCTCTGTGTATATAATACAAGTAAAATAGACATCCAATAATAAATCATTAGCATAAGAGAAGAAGAACAAAATGGTCATTAAAGTTATATATAACAGAACCACATTATTTAAGAATATATTCCAATATCAAATGACAAATTCTAGCAGTGCAAAAGCTACAGTGACTTTTTTGCAACAACCAGCCCAGAAAAATATTACGTCAGAAAGCCTAACACAAAAGCCAGCAGCTGTCTTTCCCTGCGATGTTGCTGGTATGAAAAGGCCTTTGTTTTGTTTGGTTGGTTTTTTGTGGAGTCATTTCTAGGCATAGAATTCTCAGTGGGAAAGAATTGTGACTGTTGCTTCATTCTCATCTGGTTTCCAGGGATGTAACTCAGATGTCAAATGGCGTTTCTAGGGTCCTGTGGATGTTGGTCAGTTTCTGCTATGCCGAATTTGAAGGCTTGTTGCTTGTGCAATCCAAGGTTGCTTAGTGAATGAAGTGTTTTCTAAAGTTCATTGTTGAGTGCTCAAGAAATTGTGTGATTTATATACTCTTCTAGTATTTCCTTTGAAAACTTTCTCCTTGCTCCCCTTTTCCTGAGTGCCCGTTCACTTGGTCATTGGGCTTTTGCGATTGGTTTTGTAATATTGTTTATCTTTTCCTTCACTTTCTTTAACTTTTTGTTTTCTGAAGGAGATTTCTTTAATTTGTATCTTAATCGTTTTAGGGTATATTATTTCACACACACCTCTGGTTGCTCTATTTTTCCCCCCTTTTATGTGCTATGTTTTATGGTATGGATGCAAAGCATTCATAACTCAGTGACGAGACTCAGGGCAATTCCTTTGAAGTTTTCTTTTGTAGCAACTCTTGTCCTTGTCCACACTGATCTCTTTTACCCCTCCTCCTTGCTGCTGCCCACTTCCTCTTTCCTATTTTTCTTCCCCCCGTCCCTTTTTTACCTTCTCTCCTTTTCCCCTCTCCCTTTTTTTCTTCTTTCTCCTTCTCCTTCTCCTTTTCCTCTTCCTCTCCCTTGTGTCTGAGTGCTTGGACTGGGCTGAGGGCCTTGCACTACCTGGGTCTGTGATTGACCTGTGCACCCCCCAACTCCCAGCTTGTTTGGTGGGGGTTTTATTCCCCAACGCTTAGTTCATATACATATCTTTCTCTTCATATATAGAAAGCTGCTCTTGTGTCTGTGTGTGAATGTAGGTTGCTTCCTGGTGGCCAGTGATACAGAATGACAAGTCAGCCATCAGCCTACTTCCTTTGGGTTCTGGTGCAACATCTATAAGTCCTTTCTTAGATGACACTATCAGAGAATGGTCCCTCAGTCTCTAGTTTTTTTTTTTTTTTTTTTTTTGGTTTTGTTTTTTTTTTTGTTTTGTTTTGTTTTGTTTTTTAGTATCATCCTGTTCACAATGGTTTCGAACCAGCAGAGCAAGGGAATGGGAAGGTCTCTGTCTTCATTTTATGTCAGCTCTCTTCCCACCCCATTCTCTTCAGTGTCCACATTTGTGAAGCTTTTGCTTCCAGAAGCCATGTCTGTTCATGATTCCTTCTAACTCCTTGGAAGAGAGTTAGGCACCCTGGGAACTGAACTGCTGTTGATGTAGTCTTCATCTCCACTGCCCAGGCCTGTCACTGTAGCCAGGGTATCCATTGAGTGTGGCCTGGACACTTTGGCTCGCTTCTGCTGCTGGTGCCAATGCACCCTGAGCCATCTCTGTTCTCTGTGCTCTCAGCCATCACCATCTCTCAATTCCACCATTGCCTGCCTGGGTTGAAGTTTAGGCTATTGATGCTTCGCTCAGTGTCAAACATGAGCTTCTGTTTCTGGTTTTAAACTCCTTGTTTTGTTGACCTTTTGGGAGAAAAGAGGTATGTAGCATTGCTACTGTCATAGTACAACAGTTTGTATAGGGTTTAGAACAGGGGTTTGTACTGGGTGAATAAAAGACTGTAATGTTAACTTAATTCTTCTGTTTACCTCTTTCTGACCTCTAAGCCTTTGCTCCACAGAGTGTATGGCTTCAGTAGACTGTGTGGGAGCTGGCTTCTGTCTTGATCAAACTGTGCCAGATCAATGGCTGCTGCCTGGTGCCCTGTCATCTGACTGCCAGGGGCCAGGAGTGGTAGAGATGATGTCTGCTCTTATCAAGGTCAAATAATTATGAGCTTCGAGGAACATCAGAGAGGCAGCTGACTGTGGGCTTCATGTCTCTACCTACTTTTGTGCACCTTGTTTCCCAGTGGTGGTTTATGAGAGTCTCATCTGGTTGGCAAGTGACAGGATCTCAACAGTCTAGAGCCTGCTATACCCAGGATTACCTGGAAATGCCCTACTTTGTTTTAAGCTGGATAAACCCTAGAGTAAGCACCTCCTAAGCCACTTGGTAACCAGTGTGTACTTGTGCCTCCCCTGTTTAGGGTGTGGATGTCCTGTCTCCTGAGAATTCCCAGCTGCTTGAACAAGCTCCCACAACAGCACTTCCTCCCTGGAATTGAGGGAATGATGGAGAAACATGGGAATGGTTGAAGGCTCATTACAATTGTGCCTGTGCAGGAGGGATTGGGGCCTGGCTTAGCTGGGGCTTTTATAGCTGATCCTAGGGTGTGGCTTGACAATGTTCTTAGCTACTGAGGCAACAAGAATTTTCAACTATTTCTCCAACTGTAATGGGGTTTTCTCTCAGCTGGTGTTACACCTCCATAAATTCCTCCCAATAACCAGCATCCTTGTCAAGTATTTGTAATCAAGACTCCAAACTGCTGCAGCTCTGTTAACCAGCCTGGTTCACTGTAGCTTCTCTCTGTGAGGCAGGAATCTTTGTGTTGGGACCTGGCCTTCCTGAACCTCTCCACCTCTTTTGATATGTTTTAGTGTCTGATTTGGATTCTGGAAAGTTTAGAACTCACGTTTGAGGTTTTAAGACTTTTTCTCTTCCTGAACTGGCAGGTGTGCAATGCACTAAAATGAGCA